GAATACCATCGTATACAAGTCCTGCCTAGCATGCAGTGACGCTCTGAACATCAGTTATGTGAGAATACGTGTGGCATTAAGGAACCCTACCTATGAATATGTAACAGCTAAAGAATAGGAGATTGGGAAGACAAGAAATGTATTTCTTTAGTGAAAGAAATTTAGAAAATGTGAAAACAAAATCTATTAAAAATCATACTATTATGTTAATAGTGAATTAATTTACCTGTCTTGAAATGTTAAATCTTCTAGCCTTAATTGTTAGGATTTGATTCTTGCTCCATTGCATCATGTTATAGTTAAAAAAGAGGAGTAGCAGTGGGGATCGTGTTTCTTCAGACTGATTTTTTTTTCCATACATAATTTGTTGTATTGATATCTGATTCTCATTTTGAGTGGCAAATGAGAATTTTTACATGTATTAACAATAATTTTACCTATTTTATCTTGACTCTAACCATGCTAACTAAGTACATTTCAAATCACAAACATTTTTCTGTGTTGTTTTGCTCTCAGATAAAGTTCACTATGGGTAATTATTTCCAAAGTTGTTAAACCAAACTAAAAACAACATAAATTTTAGACCTAGTAGAGAATGATGTGGTGAAATTGGAATGCTCATATCTTATTGGTAAGAATGTAAAGTGGTGCAGCCTCTTTGGAAACTAGTTTGGCTGTTGTTCAAAATGTTAAACATAGAGTGCATGACCCAACAGTTCTACTCTAGGAATATACCCCCAAAGAATGAAAACATAACATCCAGACAAAAACTTGAACATGAATGTTCATAGTAACATTGTTTATAATAGCCAAAATCTAAAAACAGCTAAAAATGACCATGAACTAATAAACAGGTATATAAATTGTGATATATAACCCCAGTAATAAAAGGGGGGAAAGTTCTGTTACATGAAAATGTTATGCTAAGTCACAAACAAAATGACCACGAACTAATAAACAGAAATTGTGATATATAACCCCAGTAATAAAAGGGGGGGAAGTTCTGTTACATGAAAATGTTATGCTAAGTCACAAAGACCACATGTTATATGATTCCTTTCATATAAAATGTCCTAAATTGACAAATTTCTAGAGATAGAAGGTAGGCTGAGGCTGGGATGTATGGAGTGACTGCTAATGAGCACGGGGTTACTTTTTGGGGATGACAAATATAAAATTAGGTTGTGGTAATGGTTGCATAACTCTGGATCTACTAAAAATTATTGCATCTTGCACCTTTAATAGGTGTGCTCTTTGTCTGTAAATTATATCTCAACATAGCTATTAAAATGAATCTATGATCCAGATAATAGGGAAAAAAATCTGAAACAGCTTAAATATATTAATTCCAAACTGATAGAATCAGTGATATATATCAAACCATATAACACTCTGCAGCTTTTAAAAGGAAAATGAAGACTATACTTACTTGTAGTGCAACCTGCTAAGAATTATTTTTAGAGTAAAAAATAAAGAGTAAAATAGCATATTCTAGTAGATAAAAATGTGAAGTAGAATGGTGTATGTGTGTTTATACTATTCTCATCTTTATAGAAAAGGGTATTTATATATACTACTAGAGGCCCGATACACGAAATTCATGCAAGAGTAGGCCTTCCTTCCCCCCCGGCTGTTGGCATCGACTTCCCTCTGGCACCCGGGACTCAGGCTTCCCTTATAGTTCCAGCTTCATCCAGAAGGTCATCTGGAAGGATGTCCAGTCTCATTAGCATATTATGCTTTTATTATTATAGATTTGTACATCAAATATATGTCTTCTATTGCCTAAGTTATAACACATTTACTTACGTGCTTTAAAAAAATCTAATTAACAGTGATTTGGGAAACTGTTTTCCCCTTCACTATTCATAGCCACAAACTCAAGATTCTTCTTGGTCAGTTTGTTTTTTTTAATACTTTAAAATAATTCTAAAAATTCTCCTTTCTGCTGTGAAGAAGGTTTTCTAGGATTCACACTTGTGAGTGAGCCCCTTCCTCCTTCTAAGACGTTAGGGCCAGACAGATGTGTGCTGACAATAGCAAAATCCCTCAGGCTGAAGCAATGCAAACTGCTTGCTACCTGCTACCCAAGGGATTCTATAGGACCCCCTAAAGAGCAAGAGTAGCAGGAGTGAGACAATGAGTGCCTTTCTTGTTCCACCTAGACCTTCCTAAGATGAATAGAATGCAGTCTTTTTAAAATGTCTATCTCTAAAGATCAGGCTTGATTTTGAATAAAATTAGCATAATTAACAATTATTAATTCATTCAGTTATTGAGATCTTATTAATTGTTATAACAGTGCATGGTTCATCACTATATTCTTATCCACAGTTTCCCAAGAGGCAATCAAACAGATTCTTGTATTTAGATAAGAAAGGCAAAGAAGTTCAATTTTTGCAATATTGTTTATTTAAAAAACAATTTTTGAAAACTCTGATTTTTGCTTTGTTTCCAAACATTCAAACATTCATTATTTTAGAGTGAAAAAGAATTATAACTTTAATATTCCTTTTACATTGCTAACTATATTAATATGGCCATCATCTAGTTGTGTTTAATAAATATTCACTTGATATTTTTAACTTTTTATGGAAAAAAGTTAAAATTTTTAACAACCATAGCAAAATTGTCTTTAAAATGTATAATTGAATAAATTCTATTTCAGTCTAAATTATATAATTAGTAAATTTATTACATAATTAAGAATATATCAGGTATAAAATTTGATCCTAATAATATAGAATGTTTTCAAAATTTGGTTAATGATCTTAATGTTTTAATTGATGGCTCAGTTGATAGTAATTATTTTTTCAGGTGAAACATATCACCTCCCTCCCCCTTCCAGCAGCTACAGTAGGAGAAAGAAGTAGTGATATTTAGCTCAGTCTAATAGATTCCCAAGAAAAAGATGATTGACTGCAGTTTATGTCGTCCATGGCAAGAGATGAAATGGTGAAATCATTCAGAAACACTAAACTTAAAAATTAAATTAGAATATGGAATACTGAGTAATAAATCCCATGTAATTCAAATTAGCATTGCCACTTCACTTGACAGAAGTTACCTTAAAGAGACAGACTTATATAATGAGTAAAAATGGGGAGAACTGTGCTAATCTAATACAAAGAAAACAGAGAAAGTTGATTATAAGATTGCATCAAAATTTTTAGAATTTACGTTATTTAAAAAACTAAAGAGCAATGTCATGGAGTTATGAAATTGACCCCAAAAAGAACTGAATCATATTTACTTATTTTTTTTTTGTTAATGGTGTGATATATTGCATGTTTACAAAAATGATTCAAGTTATTTTTAAGATATTTCTTAGAGAGTCTACTTAAAGTCAAGCATTGTTAGGGATAAAAATGAAGAAAAGAGCAGAAGTGATCCATCTGTCATTCATGGAAATTGCAGTCCAGAGGAAAGAGAAGTGAGTCAGACTTAAAAAAAAAAATCACAAAAATAAAAATATGGTTATAGCTTGTGATAAACGCCATCAAGAAGAGTTTCAGGTTGTAAAAGGATTGTAAACAAAAAGAACTGACTAGCACATTAACACTATTTTTAGTAAACATTTTTATATTTTCTATTTCACTTCAGTTTTTTTATTCCAATGAGTTGATATACATATACATAGTAAACACAAAAATAGCTTTCTAATATCAGTCAGAAAATATCTTTGAACTCACTTTTTTTGCCAACATTTTATCTTTTTGACAATGTTTTGGGAGGCAAAATTATGATCTCACACTGACTTTGCTTTTCCCAATGTTTTATTTAACACGGGTTCACTTCAGGAATTATAATTTACAAACCAATAGTATACAAGATAATGTCTCTTAAACAGCAACTATATATATATATAATTTTATTACTTTATTGTACTTCACAGATGTTGATTCTTCCACAAATTGAAGGCAAGACCCTTCACCAACCAAAATATTACAACTCACTTTATTATGATACTCAGTTTATTGCGGTGATCTGATACCTAACTCACAATAGCTCTGAGCCATGACTGTACTCTAAAGCAATGAGAGATTAATTTTACTATTGTTCCAGCCAAGGAGAGAAAAAAGAAATTGAGTTTATATATAGTTGAGGTATATCTTTATGCAAGTTGTACTCAGAAGACAACTCAGCCTGGCCAACCAAGAGCTGATGTCCCCGGGCCAGTGCCAAAGTGAAAGTCCCTGTTGCTAGAGCACTTTGCTAGGGAATGACAGCGCTAGTGTGGACAGGCAGGATGTTCTTTGTAGAACCACTGCCTGGCTTTCCCCACTGCCAGCAAGGGTCCCCTTGACCTCAGTGGGAGCTAAAGTCCCAAAGGTCTTCACAAAGCTCTTTAGATCAGTCAAGGGTAGCCCTGCCCAGGCCGAACACTCCAGAATAGTCTTCACAAATTACAGGCATTTATTGTCTAAATGTACTCTTGTCACAAGTTTTATTCGATAAGGCCCCACGGATGCCCCTCAGCAGCTGAGCTAGTGAGTACTTATCAGTGACAACAGCTAAGAGGATAACATCCTGACATAGACTCCTTCACTCTTCTAGCAAAACAACTTCACTCTTAAAAACAACTTGATTCCTAGGTCAAAACAACTTCGCTCTCAAAAACAACTTCATGTCTTGTCAAAAACAAAAAAGAAAATAAAAGTGGATTTGAAATCAAACTCATGGACACAGACAATAGTGTGGTGAAGGCCTCAGGGCAGATGGGGTTGCGGAGTGGAGGGGTTCAATGGGGAAAAAGGGGACATCTGTGATGCTTTCAACAATAAAGATAATTAAATTTTAAAAGGAATGCATGCATACAAGTCCTTTGGTTGATCTCTCCCCATCACCCCCACCCTCCACTACCTTCCCTCTGAGGTTTGACGTTCTGATCAATGATTCTCTGTCTCTGGATCTGTTTTTATTATTTTAAAAAATGTACACAACAGATATCATACAAAATAAAAATATACTCAGTTAAATTTTGATTATTTATGTTGCAGCAAGATTTTTCATATTAACAAGGTAATTTTATTAATGATTATGTTAATTGAATTTTTAAAAAGCACTGCTTCCCAAACAGTATGTAGCACTCTGGAGTACACTGCAGACATTAATTTAACAAGTATTTATAAAGTGTTTACTGTGAATAAGGAATTCTGACAAAATAAGGAGTCTGTGTGTGGGGAAGGTGGAGAAACAATGGCCAGTGTACAACCGAGCAGGAGTGGCTGTGGATAAAATAATAAGTCTACTACAAGCAGGAGGGAAATATCTGAGCATCGGTACGATGACATGTTATGGAACTTTAGAGATGACAGAAACATCAATTTCATCTTCGTGGGCCAGGAGCCACCAGGAAGGCTATGATGAGGAAACAATTTAGATCTTGTCTTGACACGTTAGGTCAGGAGAGGAACAATGATGCATAGAAAGTGACATGAAAAAATTTCCAAATTTGGAAAGCTCAGGGTCTTTTAATAGGAATCTCATTAGGCTTGAAAGAAGTTAAGTTCCTTATGAGAAATCATGATAAAATAGGCTGAGAAGTAGAGAGGAATTTGATTATCACGAGGCTATGAATGCAAACATAAAGAAATTCAAGGTAATTCAAAGGGAATTGTTTTGGTTATTATTTATTAAGAAAGAAAAATTAGACTGATAATATAATTTGTGAAAGATTGTTAAGGAATCATTTGTAGGCATTTCTAATACCTCCTGGATACCTGCTACAAATGAATGGAAGTCACTTTGAGAAATACATATTTCTAGCTCTCAACCTAGAAATAACTGAAGTTCAAGCAGTTTTATCATGAAAATGTAACATGGACTAACTTCTTGATCTTATGCTCATGACGTTTAGAATAGCCAAGGTAGAACTATGTTCAGTCAAAATTTTAATTCCTTTACACAAAAATGACTCTTAGGCATATGGCAGCTAATATATCCAGGTTTCTTACTACTTTAAAGAAATTAATTTAGCTTCTCAGAACCACATAAATTGATAATTCACCCAGGTTCACATTCTGTGGCTCAGACATTTTCAACATTTATAAACTCCATGATTATAAAACAAATATAGTAATTCTTTTTGCTTTCATTTAAACCTTAGATGACTGGGTAGGGAGGGGGGGTCCTTCTCTTATTTTAAACAAAAGTTTCTGTCATTTCTACTTAAGTTTCTGGTACTTTTAGTTATACTGTGTTTTCTGATCTGCTTATAAATCTAGATCGGCAACATCCTCCTTTACTGCTCCTTCTGGTGGGACAGAGGGGTGGACTCCATGGGGACTTCCCTCAGCCCCTCTCCTGCAGTGCCATCCGTGTGCCAGGAGGATGTGTGCCACAATGGAGGCACTTGCCATCCCATCTTCCTCTCAAATGGTGCATTCTCAGTCCAGTGTGACTGTCCACTACATTTCACTGGCCGTTTCTGCGAACAAGGTAATCAATCTTCATTATCCTTCTGTATTTCTTTTTAAAAACTTCTCTAGAGAGAGGAAGAGAATTGAAACCTATTGTACACACAGTGATGGATAGGAGCTCAAACAAGAAACTTCTGTATAATTTTACTTAAAAATCAATTCTGAAAGAACATTTTCAGTTCAATAATGTAGAAGCCAAACCTGAGATATTTTTATTCAAATTACCATTAAAAATATATTTTCAATTGCCACCAAAAAGAAGTTAAAGTGAAAATGTAATGTTATTTACATAGTTTCTTCTAAAAGTGTGATATTCCATCCTTTGTCACCATAGAAATAATTTGGTTCTAATTAATGCTATTTTTATTGCTTGTTAATCAAATCACATAAGCAGATCTCTATATTTAAATTATTTTGGTGTGTCAGAAGAGTACATTATTTTTTAATGCTTAAAAACATAATTTTAGCATTAATGGAATTATTTATGAATGAAGTGGAAATTTTCCTATTGTCAATATCTAAGGGCCTCCTGAGAGTCAGTTAATTAAAGCCATGCTGGGCACCTACAGTCAGAAACGCCCTGGGCAGATTACAAAGACCTTAGGTTATGAGGCAGCTGACTGCGTGTCCCTCCACTAATAGCTTAAAAGTGTCATTGTTTCCTATGTAAAATTAATCACTGGTTTTAAATTGGGGAAGTAGGGGTGAGGATTACTAGTGGATAATGATTCAGATAGCAGAGAAATTCATTACTTATTCAAGATTGTGTTAAATAACCCCTTTTTAAATACCAAAATGTGAGGCCTCCAAACCTAATTCAAAGGTATGTGTATATGTTATTCAACTCTTCTTCCCAAATGATCTTGTGTGACTGTAGCAAATGTTTTAATATTCAGCCAAGTAAGCAAGTAAACACAGTAAGAAGCTCAGAAATGGAAATAGTCTATTTTCATGTTCATGGTAAAACATTGTGTTCTTAAAGTCTATTTTTTAACTGTAAAGTGCTTTTGACGACACATCATTATTACTTAATTTTTGAGTGAATATTTCATATCTCTGAAAATCTCAAGAGACTTGCCTTTTTCAGCTATAATCTGAGACCATTTATATTACATTCTGTGAATAGAGTTCTAGGGACATAATTTGGATTGTAAAGCTCTTTTAGATCCTAACCATTTAAAACTCTTAACCATTAAAAACTCTGAGAGGGTTTTTTCTTTCTTGAATTTCATGCTAGGTAGAGTCTTAGAAAAATACCCTCCTTCCCTTCTTCAAATATACTTTGATATTTTAATTTTTTAACCCAGATGTATTGACAGTGGTGAAATTGATGTTGTAAAAGGAGTCTTTAGTTAATGAGGATATGTCCTAGTCAACCACATGCATTAGAATACAAATGACCCTCTAGCCGTAATTCCTACCTCTCCTAATGAATCCCCCAGTTCTTCCTCCTAATTCCTTACTCAGTAGCTTTAACACTCAGATAGTGGCCTATACTTTTCTTCAGAATAGGAGTAATTCAGGTTTATTTGGAGTTAAGTCTAAGACTTGATTGAAGTTTAATAACGTTGGGTGTTTGAGGTGACAGAATACAGGAACCTGAACTCCGGGAAAGAATCTCTGCTCTGTATTCATTGTTTGGAATGTTTTATCTTTTTTCCAAGAATATTATTCACTTTCTACCTCTTTTTCCTGTTGAATTTACAATATTTTGAAAACTAATGACTGGAATGATAATGTGTTGCTAAAACTAGGTAATCCACTATAGATTACTTATTTCTAACTGAAAAATAATCAGAACATGTGAGTAAATAATTATTACCAAGATGATGACTTGTTTTTTTCTTAAAGAAACTTTGTCAGTGACATCTGAGATGTATGATGCACTAATCAAAAATGCATGCAAAAGGACTCTTTAGATTATCAGCCATGATAGCATTACCTATAACTTTGTTGCTATTCTTGCCTCCTTTGGGGAAAAAAATATTTCAATATAATATTTAGAATGTGATGTGATATACATTTTTAGAATTGGGAATGTTCTTTCTAAATTTAAAAATGATCAGTATTTTCTTTTAACCATTTACCCCCTAAACTGGAATTAAGTACCTTTCTTATTTCAGTTCTAGAGGAAGTCAAGAACAGGTTCATGTTTTCAGTATGATGCTCTAAATATAAATCACACTGGTATGCATCTTAGAATCCAGATTGACAGATAATGACTACCGCCTAAGGCCCATGACTCAGGAATCTGCTACCATAATGAGACTTTTTATAGCATTATCCAGGTTGGTCAGATGCCACAATTTCTAAGAGTAGATTTAAATAAACAGTATTGTATGCCAGTTTCTACTACCTGGTAGAAATCTTGCTGTGGATAAACAGTCCCTTAAATCAAAGTTTTCATCAAAGTCTCTCTCTCTCTCTCTCTCTCTCTCTCTCTCTCTCTCGCTCTCTCTCTCTCTCCTCTCCTCTCCTCTCCTCACTTTACATATATACATATATATGTGTATATACATATATATGTATGCACATATATATGTGTATACATATATATACATATGTGTCTTAGAAATGTTCTCAGTATTAAATTGCTTAGACTTTACTGATAGATTGCTATGAAAATTATTTCTTGCTAAGTCTCTGTTGAGTACATTTAACATCTAAATTATATAAACTACATTGTGAATAATTTTGGTGTACCAGATGCTGCACCGAGTACTTCCTGAATCTTATTTCACTTAACCCTCAGAATAACACAGCTAGGTAGAGCATTACATCATGTGCTCTACTTTATTAAATCATCCATATCCAATCACCTAATAACATTGACTTATAGAATCAGTTTGATTCAATATGCTCTTTTTTTTATCTTAATTCATATGAGCTCAACCTTGTTGCCTACTTTATCATAATGATCCTGCATCTCACCAGGGGAAACATAAGAGCATATAGTCTTGCTTTGTTTCAGATGGTTGCATGCAGGCAGATGGCTGTCTCCTACTGTAAAGTTCAGAGTGACAGATTTAGAATATCAGTGCCTTGTGCTTGGGGGGAAGTGTATGCCTCTGACTATTAATTATAGGATTAACATTTTTAAACAGCCCCATACTTTTTAGTGTTCTATAAAACAGTTTTATAAATAGTGCAGTAAAGGAGTATTTAAATGCCATACATTAAAACCAAGAAACCTTTTGTTTTATTTGAAATCCTGTCTGTATATATTTTATATATGCGTAAAGGTCAACTGCACTGAGTAAATTGCAAACCTGGAAATAAAAGAGAGATTTTACTGGGTGTTTTGTCTTGTTATATATATGTTTAAAAGACTGCCTTAATGATGCCTTTGGTTTTACCATAACCGGAATATATTTTAAAGACGTGTTAGAGTAGTCTGAATTTATTTATTAAGTTTTTAGATCAGGTGGCTAAATGTCAGATATTCCAGAGCCAAGAAGGCATAGAAACAGAACATTAATCAACATATAACACTGATTTATCTGCTCTCCAGAGAACTGATCATCTGCATCATCAGAAAAGGACCAAGAAATAGGTGTCTGTCTTTTCAAACATAATAACTATGTCTGAAAGTCTGTCTTTCTAATCAGAGAGCAATACAGCATATTTACTAGTCTATGGAAACTGCTAAAATATTAAGATGTTAAGTTGCAAATGAATGGGGATTGAAGTCAAGGACAAGGGCTGAAGGGAGACAAGAATACTTATGGTCAGAGACAGAGGATTTTGTTTTTGAAGGCAGAGGCGGTCTGAAGGTTCCAATCTTCTGTGCTCTTCTCCACTATCAGTTGCTGCATTCTCCAGCAGAGAGCAATGTGTTCATTAGTAGAAAAAGCTCCCTCCCCATCCTGGTGCTTGTAACTGTGTAAAATCTAGATGTTCATCAGTCTCTCTATTGACATTGGTAATAATCCAGAAATGTTCACATGGGAAGAGGAGGGAATATATATATCCCCCATCCATCAAAAAAGGATAACATATATTTTGTCTTCTAGATGAAGAGAATATTATGTTGTTGTGAAAATAGATACGTAAGAATGACTTTTTACCAGTTCCTTTTTAAGGTAAAACTGTGAGTTCTGGTCATTTCCTTCGACTAAAAATGGGACTAGAGTAAATTAATGTAAAGAAAAACTATTCCATTAATTTTATCCATCTATTCAAATTTGTAATGGGCCCATTGTTCTTGTTCACAAGAAATTTAGTAAATGTTATGGCCAGATACTAAATGCAATGGCTGTTTTTTCTTAGTTCCTGCAGTCCATACCCTTTCTTATTTATTATTTATTTATTTTAAAAAGAAAACATTAATCTTTTCCATATGAGAATATATTATATAATTAAATTAAATAGGATTAGTTGCATTCTATCTTCTTATTTGTCATTTTAACATTTTAAACTATGGTAGGAAAGCTGCATGAACACATTTGTTGTACTGTTTAGAATGAAATAGTAAGGATTTGAAAGAAAATTCTGTATTCTAATTAACTAGAATAAATCATTGCACAGAATTGAAAAATATAAATGTGGATGATATGAGAATAGATCAACAGTAAAAACAAAGACTAATGTTAACCGGCCCTAAAATGTTATTATACAGGGTGGGACAAAAGTAGATTTACAGTTGTAATACAAATAAACAAAATAATAATAAATAATTCAAGACTAAACTTTGTGTTTCACATACTCACAACTGTAAACCCACTTTTGCCCCACCTTGTACAATGACAATACAAAAGTACTGTGATGACCAGAGCTAATTAAGAATAAATGATGGGAAGTTGATTTTTAGGCAAGTATTTTCTTAAACATATGCCTTTGGCATGAAAAAAAATTAATAGAACTTGTATTTAAAAGGCCACAATATGTTCTTACTCATAATTTCATTAATGAAATTGAGTACCACCTGAGCAAAAGAACTTATTCTTTCAACTGTCTGTCCTTGAAATACTATACCTATTTCAATTGCTTTAATCCATTTTGTTAAGCTGTTTCTGTGGG